ATTATAGAGACTTTCTGCCGTTGGCTGGTTCGTCTCTGAGACATAATATGAAAATGATTGATCTGATCAAAATTCAGAAAAAGTTGTAGATAATTAACTGTTCTTCGATGAAAAAAAAAAAAAAATCCACTGAAAGTCTATTTCGTCTTTTTGAATTTCTATTTCGATCCAAGGTACAGTTAAATCCGACTGTAAATTAAATGGTGCTTATATCTCTAGCTTGAGTTGTCGAGAAATTTGCAAATGTTTCGACCGGCCCTGTAAATGAAAATGTGTTTTCCAGTGGTGGCATGTCCCTAATTGGATATTGTTAAAATCGCCCTCCTGGGCCCCCATAAATAGTGTTGCGCTGGCGCTGGCGATAACCGTCAGATTAACCTATTAACATCACATTCCAACGTATTCAAGCAGTTAGTATAGAATGAACTCACCACCCCGTAGGGCAGACTGGTATAACATGACTATTTCGTAAAAGTGCAATCTAAACTATTAGTTTTGTGTTTCATTATTCTCTGGGCAGCATCACGGTGCAAATGTGCATTCATTGTGGGTGTTAGCAAACACTCGTAGTTTTGTGCATCTATGTGTACCTACATTCAAGCAAGCAGGATGCTGAAGCTACGTCACTGAAGAGGAGCAGTAGACACAGTGCTAGCAATCGTCAATGCCGCAACGAGACGAAAGAGGAGTGGAGAATGGGTTTCAGCACGTTTGGTTTCAATTTACCTTACTTTTCGTCCCTATTGAGTGAAGTTTGCACGACCGGTGAGAGTAATTAAAAACTGCTTGAACATGAGGAAAATCGACCAACGTTTTATGCAGTCAAGGAGTAAACAAATAGACTTAGTGAAATATCTCTCGGTTTTCCACATATTCAGGAAGTTTTCCTCGGAAAATCGAGGAAAATTTTACTCATTCACTTTTTGCAATGTTTAGTCACTAAATTTTGAGTTACTCTCATTTGCCACGTGTTATGGTATTGGATCATCAGCAGTAGAATATAATGCCAAAAAAAAACCGCTAATTAACCAATTAGTCAAGCTTCAAGACTACAGATTAGAGTACCTGACACTTGAAAACATGTCTGGTACCTCCTCTATATGCATTTAGTTTCACATATGAAGTCCCTCCTTTTTGTCGGCCTAAAAATTACCTTCTAAGCCCCGCACCTAACGGGATGTTCCGAAAGATTTTTGTTTGTGCCGAGCATGCAAAAAAGGAGGGACTTCGGATGTTAATCTAAGTGCATAAATAACGGTACTGACAGCTTTTTCTGTGACAGGTATTCTATTCTCCAGTATGTGATAGAGAAATTATAAATCGAGTGTCTTAAAAATACATAGCATGTTGAGATATTGAGCTCGTAAGAGAGATTTTTTTCTCTCGCCAAAATTTGTCTGAAGAATTAAATTCTGCTGGACCCATTTTGAGAAAATCTCAGGATATGGACCATTTTGCCCAATTACACCACAAATGTAGAAACTATACTATACTATAATTTCTTGATTCGATATCTTTAAAAATCTTTGTCCTGTATCGCTTTACTCACTTCAAAACTCGTTTCAATCCTACCCTTGAATAATTTTGGGATACACTCTGGTTTCAATTGAAATTTTCACTGGAAATTCTGTTCATAATACTCTTGAAATTCGTTTAACAATTTACTACGAATTCTTAAGAATTTCACAAGAATTCACATGAAATTCACTTCATAATTCATTAGTGTTTCCTACCCACGACATCCTGGGAAACTTGCCAAAGATTTCATTTCCCGATTCCCGGGAATCTGGTTTAGTTTCCCGGGAAATAGCTATTTCTTTACCACCAATGGTGGTTTCGAATAAATTGTTGGAACTATTCAGACTAAACATCGTTGTTGGAACTATTCAGACTAAACAAACGATGGTTGTTTACGTTCCCGACGTTTCGGCCGTAGACTTGCGGCCTTTTTCAATGGTAGGTTCTATCGTTTTAGGATTGGATTAAAAATGCCAAGTAAAACTCAGAATAAAATAAAAAAGGTGTGTTATGTACCATTCTCCTCTATAATGTTTCTTACAAGAAAACGATGATCGAACAATGGTGAAACTAGATGGTCACTCTCTGGATATTATAGAAGAAACTTTCGAGAATAATTTGGGAGAATCTTACAACCAGAAGGACTTTTAAGAAGCTTTCGTTGGTTATCGGAAGAATTTTTCACGTGAACTTGGCAGAATTTTCCGAAGAAATGTTGGACAACATTTTAAGGAGAAGACGAAATACTTTTTTGGGCAAAGTCAGATGAAACTTCTTTGGAAAATCTAAAAATAAATCTGGGGGAAATTGAAAAAAAAAAAAACAAATCCGTGAAAATGGAAGAATGGGTCGGGTGGAGCCAAGATAAACTTTCGCAACAAGCTGGAAGAGTCTTCGAAAGGAAGTCAGAGACAACCTTCGGGAGAGGTTGAAAAACTGCCTGGGAAGTGTTAAGCCAATTCCAGAGAAAACTAGAAGGACAGATCTCCTAGAGATTCGGAGAGAATCTCTCCTGTAGATTCCAAGAGAATCTCTCCTGGAGATTCCAAGAGAATCTCTCCTTGAGATTCCGAGAGAATCTCCCCTGGAGATCCTGAGAGAATCTTTCCTAGAGATTCTGGGAGAATGTCTCCAACAGATTCTGAGAGAATCTATCTAAGAGATTGTGAGAGATTTACTTCTAGTGATTCTGAGAGAATCTTTCCTAGAGATTCTGGGAGAATCTCTCCTAGAGATTCTGAGAGAATTTCTCTTAGAGATTCTGGGAGAATCTCTCCTAGAGATTCTAAGAAAATCATTCCTAGAGATTTTGAGGGCATTGCTCCTAGCGATCCTGAGAGAATCTTTCCTAGACATTCTCGGAAAATATCTTCTAGAGATTCTGATAGAATCTCTCTAATAGATTGTGAGAGATTTACTTATAGCGATCCTGAGAGAATCTTTCCTTAAAATTCTGGGAGAATCTCTCCTAAAGATTCTGGGTGAATCTCTCCTAGAGATTCTGCGAGAATCTCTCCTAGAGATTCTGGGAGAATCTCTCCTAGAGATTCTGGGAGAGTCTCTCCTAGAGATTCTGGGAGAATCTCTCCTAGAGATTCTGGGAGAATCTCTCCTAGAGATTCTGGGAGAATCTCTCCTAGAGATTCTGGGAGAATCTCTCCTAGAGATTCTGGGAGAATCTCTCCTAGAGATTCTGGGAGAATCTCTCCTGGAGATTCTGGGATAATCTCTCCTGAAGATTCTGGGAGAATCTCTCCTGGAAATTCTGGCAGAATCTCTCCTGGAGATTCTGAGAGAATCTCTGTTGGAGATTCTGAGAGAATCTCTCCTAGAGATTCTGGAGAATCTCTCCTAGAGATTCTGGAAGAATCTCTCCTGGAGATTCTGGGATAATCTCTCCTGAAGATTCTGAGAGAATCTCTCCTGGAAATTCTGGCAGAATCTCTCCTGGAGATTCTGAGAGAATCTCTGTTGGAGGTTCTGATAGAATCTCTCCTAGAGATTCTGGGAGAATCTCTCCTGGAGATTCTGTGAGAATCTCTCCTGGAGATTCTGGGAGAATCTCTCCTGGAGATTCTGGGAGAATCTCTCCTGGAGATTCTGAGAGAATCTCTGCTGGAGATTCTAAGAGAATCTCTCCTGGAGATTGTGAGAGAATCTCTCCTGGAGATTGTGAGATAATCTCTCCTGGAGATTGTGAGATAATCTCTCCTGGAGATAATGATAGAATCTCTCCTGCAGATTCTGAGAGAATCTCTCCTAGGATTCTGGGAGAAGCTCTCCTAGAGATTCTGGGAGAATCTTTCCAAGAGATTCTGGGAGAACCTCTCCTGAAGATTCTGGGAGAATCTTTCCAGGATATTCTGATAGATTCTCTCCTAGAAATTCTGGGACAATCTCTCCTAGAGATTCTGGGAGAATCTCTCCTAGAGATTCTGGGAGAATCTCTCCTGGAGATTCTGGGAGAATCTTTCCTAAAGATTCTGGGAGAATAATTCCTAGAGAATCTGGGAGAAGCTCTCCTGGAGATTCTGGGTGAATCTCTCCTAATGATTCCGGGAAAATCTCTCCCAGAGATTCTGGGAGAATCTCTTCAAGAGATTATGGGAGAATCTCTCCTAGAGATTCTGACAGATTCTTTCATGAAGATTCTGGGAGAATCTCTCCTAGAGGTTCTGGGAGAATCTCTCCTAGCAATTCTGGGAGAACTTTTCCTGGAGGTTCTGAATGAATCTCTCCTGGCGATCTTGAGAGAATCTCTCCTGAAGATTCTGGGAGAATCTCTCCTGGAAATTCTGGCAGAATCTCTCCTGGAGATTCTGAGAGAATCTCTGTTGGAGGTTCTGAGAGAATCTCTCCTAGAGATTCTGGGAGAATCTCTCCTGGAGATTCTGGGAGAATCTCTCCTGGAGATTCTGTTGAGAATCTCTCCTGGAGATTCTCGGAGAATCTCTCCTGGAGATTCTGGGAGAATCTCTCCTGGAGATTCTGAGAGAATCTCTTCTGGAGATTCTAAGAGAATCTCTCCTGGAGATTGTGAGAGAATCTCTCCTGGAGATTGTGAGATAATCTCTCCTGGAGATAATGATAGAATCTCTCCTGCAGATTCTGAGAGAATCTCTCCTAGGATTCTGGGAGAAGCTCTCCTAGAGATTCTGGGAGAATCTTTCCAAGAGATTCTGGGAGAACCTCTCCTGGAGATTCTGGGAGAATCTCTCCAGGATACTCTGATAGATTCTCTCCTAGAAATTCTGGGAGAATCTCTTCTAGAGATTCTGGGAGAATCTCTCCTAGAGATTCTGGGAGAATCTCTCCTAGAGATTCTGGGAGAATCTCTCCTAGAGATTCTGGGAGAATCTCTCCTAGAGATTCTGGGAGAATCTCTCCTAGAGATTCTGGGAGAATCTCTCCTAGAGATTCTGGGAGAATCTCTCCTAGAGATTCTGGGAGAATCTCTCCTAGAGATTCTGGGAGAATCTCTCCTAGAGATTCTGGGAGAATCTCTCCTAGAGATTCTGGGAGAATCTCTCCTAGAGATTCTGGGAGAATCTCTCCTAGAGATTCTGGGAGAATCTCTCCTAGAGATTCTGGGAGAATCTCTCCTAGAGATTCTGGGAGAATCTCTCATAGAGATTCTGGGAGAATCTCTCCTAGAGATTCTGAGAGATTCTTTCATGAAGATTCTGGGAGAATCTCTCCTAGAGATTCTGGGAGAATCTCTCCTAGAGGTTCTGGGAGAATCTCTCCTAGCAATTCTGGGAGAACTTTTCCTGGAGGTTCTGAATGAATCTCTCCTGGCGATCTTGAGAGAATCTCTCCTGAAGATTCTGGGAGAATCTCTCCTGGAAATTCTGGCAGAATCTCTCCTGGAGATTCTGAGAGAATCTCTGTTGGAGGTTCTGAGAGAATCTCTCCTAGAGATTCTGGGAGAATCTCTCCTGGAGATTCTGGGAGAATCTCTCCTGGAGATTCTGGGAGAATCTCTCCTGGAGATTCTGGGAGAATCTCTCCTGGAGATTCTGGGAGAATCTCTCCTGGAGATTCTGGGAGAATCTCTCCTGGAGATTCTGAGAGAATCTCTTCTGGAGATTCTAAGAGAATCTCTCCTGGAGATTGTGAGAGAATCTCTCCTGGAGATTGTGAGATTATCTCTCCTGGAGATAATGATAGAATCTCTCCTGCAGATTCTGAGAGAATCTCTCCTAGGATTCTGGGAGAATCTCTCCAGGATATTCTGATAGATTCTCTCCTAGAAATTCTGGGAGAATCTCTCCTAGAGATTCTGGGAGAATCTCTCCTAGAGATTCTGGGAGAATCTCTCCTAGAGATTCTGGGAGAATCTCTCCTAGAGATTCTGGGAGAATCTCTCCTAGAGATTCTGGGAGAATCTCTCCTAGAGATTCTGGGAGAATCTCTCCTAGAGATTCTGGGAGAATCTCTCCTAGAGATTCTGGGAGAATCTCTCCTAGAGATTCTGGGAAGATTCTGGGAGAATCTCTCCTAGAGATTCTGGGAGAATCTCTCCTAGAGATTCTGGGAGAATCTCTCATAGAGATTCTGGGAGAATCTCTCCTAGAGATTCTGAGAGATTCTTTCATGAAGATTCTGGGAGAATCTCTCCTAGAGATTCTGGGAGAATCTCTCCTAGAGGTTCTGGGAGAATCTCTCCTAGCAATTCTGGGAGAACTTTTCCTGGAGGTTCTGAATGAATCTCTCCTGGCGATATTGAGAGAATCTCTCCTGGAGATTCTGAGAGAATCTCTCCTAGAGATTCTGGAAGAATTTATCCTAGAGATTCTGAGAGAATCTCTCCTGGAGATTCTGTTGAGAATCTCTCCTAGAGATTCTGAGAGAATCTCTTCTGGGATTCTGGGAGAATCCCTCCTGGAGATTCTGGGAGAATCTCTTCTGAAGATTCTGAGGAATCGCTTATGGAGATTATGTATGAACTAAAAAAACAATTAAATTTGGGAACATAAGCATGTTGTGCATGAGCGCACACTTTTCATTAGCACAAGCACATAGCTGAAGCTCATTGCACGTCTTTTTAATTTTTGACGTATTAACACATATATGTATGTGTTTTTGATGTAGAGCCGTTATGCCGAATCGGTAATTAGACCAAAAATAGAGAAGTTATAGATTGAACTCAGAAACTGCTTTGAAACTATCTTCAACACTGTGCAACTGTAAGAATTGTTTCTGATCTCTTCCGTACTGTCTTGAACTTTGCATCATTTCCAAAATTCTGAATACTCATTATTCTATGTGTTGAAAAATGCTTCAAGATCTGATTTCATTAGTTATAAAAATAGATCGCATTGGGCATAATTAAATATAAGAAAACCGACTTGGAAAACAATTCATAATTCCAATTTTGAATTCTTTCGAGGTACATTGAAGCAGTATTTTTTTACATCTTGGATGAAATATGCTGGTCATAGCAATTATTCTAATAGAATAATCTTAATTGAATTCAATGCAAATCCAATCCCAATCATATCCAAATCTAGTACAAATCCAACCCAAACCCAATCAAAATTCAATCCAAATACAATTCCAATCCAATTCCAATCCAATTACAATCCAATTCCAATCCAGTTCCAATTCAAACGCGATCCTAACCCAATCAAAATCCATTTTGAATACAATTCAAATCGATCTCAAATCGAATCCAAATCCACATCACAATCCATTTTCGATTCTGAAAGAATCTCTACAGAGATTTTGATAAGAAGAATGAATTGTAAGCTGAGTGGACCAAACCATACCAAAACAGTTCCGGAACCAAATGTGGATAAATATCATGAGTAGAAATTTGGTAACGTAGGGCTAAACATTTTCAGAAACTGAAATATTCCTGCAAAATCTGTTAAAGCCATTACGTGAACATTAGGAAAGCTAAACCAAAGTTCGGACAAAGCGGATAGTGAAGAAATTAAAAAGTTAACAAAACGAAGCGACCAATTATTTAAACTTCATCCTAAATGACAACATTTTGTCGTGAAAGACTGAGTTTTGGAGTGTGACCGTGGTCTGGACCCAGATTAGTTTTCCGAACATCGGAAACAGGAAGACCGAATCGCTGTGAGAGTTGACTGTGGAGTGTCACTTAGACCTGGACCATGGATTACTTTGGATATCCGACAATATGGTAAAATTTTAAGTCTTATACTAGAACATTGCGTACATTTGAAATATCATTAGAGCTCTCATGGAAGATCTCAGTTTTAAGTGTGACCTGGATCTGTACTATGGTTGGTATTCCGAATGACCGAGAACAACCGTAATAGCGAAGACAACATATCAATAAGACTGGCAACTCTGCCATTTTCTCGTTTGACCGCTTTAGGCAGGTACAATCGCGTCATCTGCCGCTCAAAAGTAAATGCTTCGAACGAATTTGATAGCAAAGATTACATCCTCAGAAGAAAGGTTTTTGTGTATTTGCTCATTTTTCTATGCGTTGCTTCCACCTTCGCTTAAGTGCAGCGCTACTGTATCTGTCGCTTGGATTCTGGCAAAATTGCCAGTCTTCTTGATATGATGTCTTCGGTAATAGTCAATCCACTCAAGTGATTGATTTGAATAATTCTTGGCAAACTTTGACATATTGATTTACCTATGAATGAACTCAAACCGAAATTTAAAGGCAATTAAACCCTCATCCTACTTTCACAAAGCCATTCATTCATTGCTTCGTACTTGGGCTGTCAAAATTAATTTTCCGCTTGGAGTATTTCTGTCCCACACGCTCTCACGGCAGGACAGCTGCATTTGCTCTGCTTTCCATCGGTTTGACCACCGTCTTGCCCATGCAGTAGATTTTCTCCCAAAGAAAGATCAAATGCCACCGAGGTGTTGAAAGTTTTACGATCCATTTCACTGACGACATGTGCACACGAGTAAATACAGACTGCGCTTCACTACCGCCCGAAACTACCAAAGCCTCGCAAAAGTCCATCATAATTAGACGGATGCAAGTGGATTTCGCAACCACCGCAAAGTGACAAAATATGCGATTTGTTCGGTTTACGTGGGGCACGCACGACACTGATTCATGAAAATTAGGTAGTTGATCTATTTTTAACCGTCTATCGCTAGAATTATTTAATGTTGTCGAATCTGACGCGAATTATTAACTCATGGCACAGACTACGGGTGGGGGTGCATCAAATTCACTGCTTGAGTTGATGACGTCAATATGGCAGTGAAACGATCCCTCAAAATTCTTGCACCGCATGCCAATGTCACATAATCGTTTCATCACACCCAATTTAGCATGCGTGTCACATCACATCATATGCTCTTTCTCTCTCTCTTCCCCGGGTTGTCCGCATGTCAACAGGCCAATCCAAACATTCTTTTTTTTTGGCATGTCTGCCGAAAATGTGTTGGTTGATGCTGCTACAACTAGCGAGTGGTTCAATTCCAGAATGGGACAAAAATAGTACATGACAAGTGGAAGTGTTTGGGGTGCAACCATTCAGAGCATAGGGCTACCAGCTACCAAGACTGATGTGGCAGATGCAAATTCTAAATATATAGAGTTTGAACTTGCGAGAATTTGTAAGAAAGTGGTTCAAGTGGACAATGCTTGCTCGACGGTTGACAGTTTATCTCTGCCAATTTGCCATTTCGCTAGTGCTATCACAACATTTGGTAACCTTAGCTCGATGCATCCATCGAATTGGTTTCCGAAACAAATTTTCCTTTGCTCCGTTGCTTGTGTAGTTTCCAACATTGTAACCAATTCCCGTGGGGGGTGACAAGCTGCTAACTAGAATCGTAATAGAGAACAATATCGACGACAAGTGAACTTTGGCACTGCTTCAAATGCGCAGCGTTGAGTGGATGAAAAATTGGTTATTGAATCAGTAAATCGTCTAGCCTAGTCAATACTGGTTTTAAACAGCTATTACCCCAACTATTACGATTGTTCTGACAGCTTGAACAAAATCAAATTCGTACCACAGCGTATGTCATAAATCCCGTAAATGGCACTTGTCGGATTGTTTGCCTTTCGAGAATGATATTTACTTTTCCGAAGTCCCTTTCTCAGATGCATCAAATCCATGTCTTTCGAATGGCTGCATTTCTTAGAATTTGTTGATCTACAAATCTTCATCACCGTCGTCCTGTTTCTCGTATTCGTTACGGTAGAACAGAGCGGAAGAACTTGTTCAGTTTGCATTTCAGCTTGGCTCAGTTTGTTTGGCGAGAAAATTTAAGTGCTCGCCTACCCCAGAGATATGGATTCGATAAACTACCAGACAACAAACAAAGAATTCGACCGTTTGCAAATTTATACCTTCGTTGCTGCTGTGCTGTGATGAACCATTAATTTGCGTTGATTTTACGGCTTATCGTTGGCTGCCAAGAGAAGAGGATTGTACTAACTTCCAACCTGAAGAGCAAGTTTTGCGGCTTCCATCGTTAATACCGAACAAGGAGAAAATCCCATAAATTGATCACAAATAGATAAACCATAAAAGGAGCCGAGCGCATAAATCTGCAGCTATTTATCGAGTTAGAGAAGAGTGAAAAACTTTCCCCCAGTATTGCTGCTGTCACTCCGGTTGGGATGATAAAGTTTATCTATTTCTACTCCGCATCGAAGCAAAACGGTTCGATGTTCGGACGGACACGAATCACTTTCAGGGTAATCAATTTCTGCCTTCTGAACGGATATCCATCAAAAACTGGAAGTAGGAATTCAATAGGATGATGGTAAGATCAGCGAGTTTGTCTGGGCGGGTGGGTTGTTATTGGTACAGAGAGGAAGCTCGTAAAAATCAGTGCTTCACTGAGGATGAGAAACGAAATTACTGATAGGATTGATTCTTGCTCTTCCGAATCCTGTAACGAACTCGTTTGGGTAATGTGATCAGGTACACGAGAAAAAATGGAGAGGTTAATGTTGGTAGTGAGATAGTTGGAATAAATTTATGTATTAGGGCGATTCAAATTAAGGATTTAGTAAATTACAAACCGATTTATCTCCGTAAATATGGCTCTAATCGCGAAAAGAGGGGTGTTCAGATGCTCGAAATTTTCA